GGGGGGGCGGGGTGGTAAAAGGGGGGATATGGCCTGTCTGAAAGAGAAAGGGGGCGGGGCCGCGAAGGGAGGGGCGGTAGTAGGCTGGGCGGGGCTGAAAGTGCAAGAGGCGGGGCTGTGAGAGAAGGGGCTAAAAGAGGGCGGGGAGGTACTCCCAGGGGAGGAGAGGTGGGATGCTCGTGGGTTCTAAAGGGAGAGAGGAGTGGGAGCTAGAAGGGATTCTGAGAAAAAGGAGTGCGGGGGTCGTGGGCGATCTCAGCCTGGGGACTCCACGAAGTAGGGGTGGGGGCGCGGGGCAGGTGTCCGGGTGCAGCCCAAGGGATACCTCCCTCTGGCACCCATTTCGTCGGGTACGCGCCCTCCGCCCGCGGGAGCCGGGCCGTGGGGGCGACCGCCCCGAGCATGCGCACCCGTTCTGCTGCGGGTAGGCGCCGAGTCCAGGCGCGGGGACGCGGGGCGGCACGAAGTGGGGCCCTCTGCCGCCCCGCGCTCCCATGTACGCCTTCTACTCGCTGCTCATCTACATCTTCTACAGCCTCTTCCGCAGGGATGGCGGGGCCGCGGCAGCCGCCGACCCCAGGGACACCGCCCAGGTGAGCGGGGGCGGACGCTGCACGGCTGGCGACTCCCTTCCCGAGAGCTGGTTGTGTAGGCCCGCGCAGCGTAGGTCCCCAGGGCGCTGACGCTGTGGAGGGGAGCCATGTCGAGGACCCCGTCTCTGTTTTGGTATTGAAAGCAGAGACCTCAGCTCCAGCACCTTTGGTTCAGTCACCGGAGGGAGGCCGCCCGGCCTCTCCTCAGGGGCTCCTCCGCTCCCTCCCTAGAGTGCCCGCTGCAAGCCTGGGGGCCGCCGCCGCGCCGACCAACCCACGGCAGAACTATGGACCGAGCTGACTGGCCTGGTCGGTAGGTGCTGTCGTGCATCCGGAACCTTGCGTCCCCGGGGCCTTGAGGGAACTCCTCCGTTCGAGAGAGGAGAAGGTGTCCGTGACCTCATTGCGATGGAGGGACCCGGCACTTGCCATCTGGTGGTCTAGCCTCCAGCATGTGACCCAGCACGCCTCTCCCCTCCCCCCACTCCCCACTTCCCACTCCCTGGCTTCGCAGGCTGCTCCGAGTCTGAGGATGCTCCAGGAGCGGGAGCGGAGGGCCGGCCGGCCGAGGTCTCCCTGGAAGAGGCTCTCGTGCGTCTTGCTGAGTTCCTGTCAGTCCAGCTGGGGGCGGAAGAGAGCTGCGGGTACCCTCCCGATCTGAGCAAGGTGAGCCTGGCTGAGGCGTCCTTCTCCAGCGACCCGTCCTTTCTTCCCAGTCCTTGTGGCCTCCACACCCGTTCCCCCTCAGTCTCCTGCATTCTGATTCTTATCTCCTTCACAGCCTGGTGATGTCCCCCCACTGTTGACTGTGACTGGTCAGCTCTTGGCCCTCCTGGCATGGATTCAGAGCCCCAGGGGGAGGCAGCCCCCGCCCCAGGGAACTCAGCCAGCCTCAGGAGTGCAGTCCCCCGCTCCTGCTGGTGCGTAAGAAGTCGTGAGTTAAAAAGGGAGTGTGTTGAGGTAGTGAAGCCCACCAGAACCTGAGCGACCTCGAGTGTGGGGTCCCAAGCCCCACCCTGCTCCTGAGTTGTCCCCACTTCAAGCCAAAGATTTCAGTCCTAACTGGGCCCACCCCACCCCAGGATCCACATCCCAAGAGGAAAGCCCTTCCCTTTCACCAAGAGGTGAGGCCCAGGGGCAGCAGCCCCCCCAGCTGGAGGAGGACCAGAGGGCTTGGCAGCGGCTGGAGCAGCTCATCCTTGGACAGGTGAGAGGCCCAAGAGGCAGCAGGGAGTGGGGGTGAGCTGGAAGGAGGTGCTCCACCCTGTACCCCTTCCTCCTTCCCAGTTGGAAGAGCTGAAGCAGCAGCTGGAACTGCAGGAGGAGGAGCTGGGCCGACTGCGCCTAGGAGTGGTGAGGCTGTGGGGGACAGGGCTCAAGGAGGGGCCGGGAGAGAGGGCCTGGGCTTTCAGGTGAGTCCAGAGCCCTTCCCTGTCCTCCAGGGGGCGACAGACTCCGAGAAAAGGGTTCAGCACCTAACCCTGGAAAACGAGGCCCTGAAACAGAGCCTGACCCTCACTCGGGACCTTCTGAGGCACTGGGGTCCCGGCCCCCGCGCCAGGGCCCCCCAGGTATTCTCCTTAGCTGCCATTGTCCCTGCAGTCTGGGGCTCCTGCAGCACTGCCCAGGCTTCCTTAGGACCTCGTGATCACTGCAACAGAGGCTGGGGCCCAGACTGTGTACAGGCCCAGAGGTGGTTTTCGCAGGACAGCCCCATCAAGGAGACTGATGCCCATGGGAGAATCTCTCCCCACACCCTGTGGTCCTCTGACCCCAGGAGAGCAAGGGACTTGGGGAAAGAGCCTTGCGTGGATTCTTGACTGGCTCGGCCTCACCTGTGAACCAGGGCTGCTAGAGTGCTATTGCCCCCAGGTCCCCATACCTCACGTGGCCCCTACCTCCCCTGCAGGAGGAGGCAGAGGCACTGGTGGAGCTCCAGGGCCGGCTTCAGGAGGCCCAGGACACCACAGAAGCCCTCCGAGTCCAGGTGGGCCCTGGGCCCAGGGGCAGGGAAGACCGGGGCCCTGGATGGGGGGCATCTGAGGCAGGGCTTGGTGAGTACCCGTGCCCTCAGTGACGGGTGGGATGGGGTGGGGTGGGGCAGCTGGGGGTGCAGGAGGTGCAGCTGCAGGGCCTTCGGGGGGCCCTCCGGCAGCTCCAGCAGGAGACTGAGCAGAACTGCAGAAGGGAACTGCAGCAGGTGCACGGGAAGCTGGCAGGTGAGGCCTGGGGCCGGGGGCTCATGGGATGGCCACCGGTCCTGGGCTTTTCCTCACAACAACCCGCCCCCACTAGGACTTCGGGCACGCATGGCCAGCCTGCGTCAGGGCTGTGGGGACCTCCGAGGCCTGGTCAGCACCTTTACCCAGAGCTGTCAGGGTTCACTGAGCGAGGCCCGGGGCCAGGTCAGGACCACTGCTCCCCTCTAGTGTGTGCTCCCTGGGCAGCCCGGTCACTGTTCTTCCCTTCCCAGCCCCAGGGAGTCGCCTCCTCAAATGGAGGTGGTAGGCTCCAGAACCAGGACAGCTCCTATGACCCAGGGTGTGATCTCACGTCCGGGTCTCACTTTTGTTCTGTGCAAACTGGGGTGACAGTGAATCCCTCACAGGCTTGGTTGAAAAGCCCAGAGGAGGTAGATGATGTCCTTGCCTATGATCCTCCTGGTTCCTGGGCTCCTTTCGTGGCTTGTTGAATAATGCCCCTGGGGCCCCAAAGTCCCTGAAAGTGTGGATGACCACAACTGGTGGCCACATGGTGGCTCCACATCGCCCTCGGCGCCCCACCCCACCCCATCCCACCACCAGCTCCTTGACTGCCCCCCACTGCCTTTCTCACTTCCCTGCCCTCTCCCCACCCAGGTATCCTGGGCCTTGGGGGCACTGTCAGCCAGTGGAGCTGGGATTCAGCTCCCCGAGGAGCAGCAGGCGCCCCCAGTTGGATGCCCAGGGCGGCTGCTGGAGCTCAAGGGTATGGCTGCCTGGGGAGCAGGGGGTGGGGTGGGCAGGCCAGAGGAAGCAGGGCCTTTCCATGCTTCAGGGCTGGTAGGGGACCCACTGAGCTGATTTCCACCCCAGGAAATATCCGTGTGCTGTGTCGGCTGAGGCCAGGGACACCCTCCAGCCTGGTGAGCTCGGAGCCAGGCCCGGGCGGCACTGTCACCACCTGCTATCGAGGACGCCGGCACTGCTTCAGCCTGGACTGGGTCTTCCCTCCAGACGCCAGCCAGGAGGAGGTGATGCTCCACTTGACGTCTGTGCTCACCCCCCCGCAGAGTCCTCAGGGGCCTCTTGGCTCCCTTCCCTGACCTGCCTTCCCAGGAGGGAGAGTGGCTAGGTTCCAGCAGGGAAAGAAGGCAGGGGGTCTGGGAGGCAGGACTGGCAGCTGAGCTAGGCACCTCCTTTCCTTCTGGGGGTTTCCCAAGCTTTGCAAGTCCCAGGGAAACCGATCCATTGGTTTAGGCGTGAAGGTTAACATTCTCAGGAATGTTAACATAGGAAAATGGACCTGTCTAAGGTGATCAGTGCTCACGCAGGGCCTGCTGCGGAACATGGCTAGGGTGCTGCTGTGGTGGGACAGTTCTGTGGCCTTCTCCCAGGCTTCATTGGCAAACCCACTGCTCTCTGGGGGTGCAGAGTCGGCCCCATGTGAGGGCAAGCACAAGGTGGGCAGAGGGGGGCGCTGGTGAACAAAGCACCTCTAGCCTCAGGGCTGCCCCCGGGACCCTGCACAAACCCTGCCCTCCTGCCTGACCGAGCCCACCACCCCACTTCACATCCACCTTCACAGCTGTTTACAAACACTGCCACCAGAACTTCTAGGGCTCAGGCAGGGGAGGCCCAGGCCCAGGAGTGGGTTAGAGAAGGGGCAGAGCTGGTGGAGTCTCACCCCTATTCGCTTCAGAGGGACCCACGGTGCGATGAGTGTCTGTTGGGTGGCCAGGGATCCCTCCCCCACTTCCTGGGGTACCACGGCTGTTTTCCACCAACATCGCCTTCCTGTGTTAATCCCACATATTACCCCCAGCATCAGCCTACCCCAAACTGTAGCCCTACACAGGGTGCCCTTGTACTGGACAGGGCCCTCCTCAATTCACTGCGTGTGAATGAAAGAACCAAAGGCATCTGTCTCCCTCACTTGAGTCCTATACCCCTGCAATGGCACCACAGTCATGCCCAGTTCTTCCTTCCAGGCATGGGGTCTTAGTGACCTTGAGCAATTCTGGATTCTGCCCTTAGTTGGGCAGAACTGACAAGCTCAGTCAGTTACCAGCCACCTTCTGGGCAAAAATGCTGGCCATGTCATTGCTCAAAAGGCTGCTGTTGGTGTCCAGTTGCCAATAGGACACAAGTCCCAGACCCATCTCCCCCTCAGCCACCTCTCTGCACCCTCACCGGGGCCCAGGTTCCAGCAATCCTGATGGTCCAGCATTCCACATGCCCCACCCATAGGCCGTTCTGGACTCATCCTTTGTGTGGCACAGGTTACCCCATAACCCTCACAACAGGTACCACTACAGTCTCTACCTCACAGAAGAACACCTCCAATCACACCCAGGGGTTTGAACCTGGCAGTCTGGGCTCTTGGCTGTTGCTCCCCAGGCCTCAGTGGTGGTCAGGGCTCCAATACCCCCCTATCGCCAGATCCCGCCTCCTGTCACACCCCTTGCCTTTGCCTGGCACGTTCTTGCAAATGCCATCTTCTCCAGGGAGGCTCCTCTGCCTTCAGCGAGCTCCTCCCAGAGCCATCCAGGGAAATGAAATCTATTCACACCTTGCCCCAGGCTCCATTGCTCAGGACTCCTCCCCCCACACCCCTAGGTCTTCAGGGAGTTGGAGCCCTCTGTGCTGTCCTGCCTCCAAGGCTACAGCGTCTGCATTTTCACCTACGGCCAGACTGGGACCGGGAAGACCTACAGCATGGAGGTGGGAAGAGGGGAATCTGGGTGGCTCTTGGGGCCAGGGGCTGGGATGTGAGCCTGGATGTGGCACCCCACCTCGTCCCCAGGGCCCACCTGAGGACCCCGGCATAGCTCCTAGGGCACTGCAGTCACTGTTCCGGGAGATGAGGACTGGAAGGCAGCACCGCGTGACTCTCAGCATGGTGGAGATCTACAACGAGGCTGTCAGGTCAGCCTTACCCTGGCTGTCTCCTACCAGCCTCTGGCCCCTGGCCCTTCCGCCCCGCCCCGCCCCCCAAGAACCCCGGAACCAAGTCCTCCCCTTTCTCACCAGGGACCTCTTAGCCCCGGGTCCTCCCCAGCGCTTGGCTGTGAGGCAGGGCCCAGCAGGCCAGGGGGGAATCCAGGTGGCTGGCCTCACCTACTGGGACGTTCCCAACCTGGAGACGCTGCATCAGGTAAGGCGCCCAGTGGGTCGCGCAGCCCTCCAAGGCTCTGCCCTGTGTTCGCACCTGGTAAGCTCTGTCGTTGCGCCCTCCAGATGCTGAGCCTCGGGAGGAGCAACCGGGCCACTGCGGCCACCGCAATGAACCAACACAGCTCTCGCTCGCACGCGCTGGTCACGCTGACGCTGCGCGCGGCGTGCCCTCCGCGCGGTTCAGGCACCGCAGGTACCACCGTCGTCCGGGCTCTGCGCTGTGGGGGGCGTCGCTACACCAGTGACTGGAGTTCCCTCCACGTGGGCTCGCTCGCCCCTGCAGGCACACTGCACCTGGTGGACCTGGCTGGATCCGAGCGTGCCTGGAAGGCGGGGGCGGTCTGCAGGGCGCAGGGAGGCCCTGACGACGCCCAGCGTCTGCGGGAAGCACGGACCATCAACCGCTCGCTGCTGGCGCTGGGTGGTGTGATGGCCGCGCTGCGAGCCCGCCGGCCACACGTGCCCTTCCGCGACTCGCAGCTCACGCGCCTGCTGCAGCCGGCGCTGGGCCCCGGCGCCACTGCGCTGCTGCTGCTGCAGGTGCGGACCGCGGCACAGGCGTGAAGCTGGACGCAAGGCAGCGGGAGGGTGGTTTGCATGCTAGGCGCCGCCCACTCGGGCCCGCCCAACACAGCCGCTTCCCCGCAGATCTCTACGCGCCCGGAGGATCTCGGCGAGACCGTGTGCTCGCTCAAGTTCGCCGAGCGAGTGAGCAAAGTGGAGCTGGGACCGGCCCGGCGCCGCAGGGTCCCGCGTTCTGGGACGCCTTCCTCCCTCAGCACCGACACACCCCTCACCGGGACCCTCTGCACCCCAACACCGTCCCCTGGCAGCCCTCCAAGTCCCGGCCCCGACAGCTGTTCCAGGTCGGCCCTCGCGCCCCCAGAGGACCTGCCCTCGTAGTTATGCCCAAGACGTCTGGGCCTCTGCCGGCAGAGGCAGCGAAGTCCCTGCACTTCCACAACCTCCTTGACTTGAGCCCTCCCTTCCCCCACTCCCAGCGAAGAGTGTTCTGCCCCGGGGAACAACTGCCGGCCCCCTCGGCCCAGGCCCTCAGTTCCCTCCTTATCACCATTTGCTGTTATCACAGCACCCGGCAGGGGGTCCCAGAGCTGCCACAGTCGCCACCAAAAATCAGAATTGGCATTAAATGTTGTCTGTTCCTTTACTGTTATCTTCCCCACTACCACCACCAAAACCAGGTATGGTCCCAGTTCCCATACCCTTTCCCCAAAAAGGTGCTACCTCCTTCCCAGACAGTTGAGGGATGCCAGGACTTCAGGCTAGAGCCGCCATTAGGTTCTCCCTCCCCCAGCCCGGGGTTGGGGGGGTGGGGTAGGGAGGGGAGGTGACAGATGGTGATGGATGGAAGGATGGACAGAGGGCCAGAGAAGGTGAGACCAGGAAGGGGACAGGAAGGGCTACTCTAAGTGGAGCCCCACTCCTCCCAGCCTTGCCTCTGGGGGTAGGAGAGGCATGACTGACCATCAGGGCCAGGGTGGTGACCAACTGGACCACAACCCTTTGTGGGATAGTCCAATAAACATTCTGGACTCTTGGCATGGCTGGTGCCTGGTGTTTCAAGGCTGCTGTGGCCACAGACACCTCTTGGTCTTCTTGGCCTTGGTTCTCCCCTCAACAAGCCAATGGTGGCAGGCAGGAGTGGGAGAGGAAAGCAGTCCCTGGCCTGGAGCCTCACAGGCTGTACCAGGAGAGTAGCCAGCCTGGGGTGGGGGCAGCCAGCTCCCGGGGGTGGCTCACCCACACATCATAGATGCTCTTGTTGGGTGGCACCCCCTGGAAGAGGGCATCTAGGTCCCAGAGCAGCCCCGGGGGGCTGTGGGGTTCAGGGGCCCCCCAGTAGGCTGGGCTGGTTGAGGATGGGCACTGGGGGCAGGAGGTGGGTGGTAATGGGGCCAAAGGTATTACCACGTTGGGGGTGTATATGGGCAAATAGGAGGTGGGTAGCTGCCCCCAAAGTGAGGCCCTGCGACCCCCACTGGACAGTCCCCCAGGGTCTGGGGTACCCTGCAGTAAGTGGAGAGGCCAGGCTCTGGGCTCAGGGGAGAGGGGCGAGGGCCTGCTGGTTCCCACCTGGGAAGTCTCCCCCTCGGCTCTCATGGTCCCTGGGAGGGGGCAGAGGGGCCACAGAGGCCTCTCAGAGGGCAGGGGTGGTGTGGGCACTACCTCTTCCTTCCTAGTCAGGGAACCTGCCGGATCTGGGCTGCTCCTTGGCGCCCCCTCCCCGGAGTCCCCCAGCAGAGACTTTATGCTGAAGCCCTCGCAGGGCGGCCTGGGAGGTCGGTAGGGCCGGCCATGCAGCACGTAGGGGCCCAGGTCCTTGGCGAAAGCCCCCCGGGTACCCCTGTTCTGCCAGCGCCGGCACAGGGCTGTGTTCTGCAGCCGCAGCGCCTCGGCGGGAATCAGGCTCACATCGACGGCCCAGAAGTTGCCCTTGGCCTTGGGCTTCGCAGGATCCTTGGGCACCTGTGGTGGAGGGGGAGGGGGGGGTCAGACTTGGTGGGGCCGCGGGACCCGGATACTCGGGATTTCCGCCCCCGCCCCGCCCCCGGCTATGTTCCGACCCCGACCCTCGCCCTGTCCCACCTTGCGGAAGCATCGGTTGGAGGAGAGGTTGTGGCGGATGGAATCCTTCCAGCCTTCGTAGTCATCCCTGAAGAAGGGGAACACGGCCTGGACCTGACGAATGATCTGAAACCACGGGGCGGCGGGCAGGCGCCGTGAGCCCGGGCGCCGATGGGGGCAGCGCCGCCCCTCCCCCACAGCCAGGCTGGAGGTGCCCCTGCTCCGCTCCCCCAACACCTCTGTGCCGGGGAGAAGAGGGCACCTCACCGGGAAGGGTCCTGTCTGAGCACCTCAGTTCTCTCCCGGGGTGCCCAGGCCGGGACTGGCCCCACTGGCAGAGCCAGGTGGGGGTGGAGGCAAGCGCCTGAACCTGGGAGTAGGTGGGGGACAGGTCTGGGAAAAGATCCCGCCAAGGAGTATGAGGGAGAGTGGGGCACCCTCTCACCTGGGCCAGCTTCAGCCTGCGGGAAGGTGCCGCCTGGATCACCAGGGCAATCATGGCCAAGTAGGTGTAGGGGGGCTTGTCGTGCCGAAGGTATCGCTTCTTCCTCCTCTTTGGGGCCTGGGAGGGCGAGTCCGTCCCGGGGTGCCCCAGGCGTGGGTTGCTGCAGGGCCCCATGAAGGGGAGGCCAGCAACGAGGACAGGGCCTGGCCCCGTGGAGGGTGCAGGGCAGTTGGGCAGTGTGGGGAGGGAGAGCCTGGGCCTGAGGCCGGGTGGGGGCAGGCGGGCTGGGCCCTTTATCATTCGGATGGAAGGGGGAGGGGAGGAGAGGCAAAGGGAGGGTGGAATATAGCAGTGGGGGAGGGGAGCATACAGAGGACTGCCACAATTAGCAGGTTTCGGTTAATCTGGAAGGGAGGGAGGGGCAGGAAAGATTCCAGTGGGGGTTGCAGGCGGCCACCCAGGCCTCATTTCTTACCCCTGGGCTGCCTTTGCCCCCGCACAAGCTGGAAGGAAGAGCCCCTGGAAGGGGCCCATGACCCATGGCTACTTTACCAGTCTGTCTAGGCTGGGTCCCAGGCTCCTATTTAACAGACAGGAAAGGGAGTTGCCCTAGTCAAATTGCCAAGGAGGGGTGAAGCCTACCCAGAGTTCAAGGCCAAGCAGCTAGAAGGACCTGAGTGATGGTCTGGGAGGGCTTCCTGGAGGAGACTTCAGGAACAAAAGAGGAACACAGTTGATTCAAGAAATTTTCCCAGTAGGGCCTCAGCGGGCTCCCCAGGCCCTTGAAACCAGTTTCCTCCCTTGTTGGTGCCTGTGAACAGTGGGTCGTGGGGGCTGACCACCCACCCTCATTTATTTAACTGTGTACCTCACTGGCCCTGGGTGGGCTGGACCGGCCTGGCCCCGGAGGACTTCATGGAGGCAGGCTTGCCTCCCCGCTTCCTCCTCTTCTGGTCCTCTGGGTCCAGGTGCTCTGGGAATTGCCCCCTGGAGAAGGCTGCTTCTCATTCCTCACAGGCACTCGCACAGTGCCCCTAGGTGGAGGGAGAGGTCTTCTAGTTGTAGGGGTCACTGGCCACGTCTCCGGGCCAAACCTTAAGGATACAGCTCCTTGGGTCATGGTCTCTGCCCAGAAGAACCTTTGAGGGCCACCTGGCTCTACCCTGGGTGGGAATGAGTGCAGGTGTGTTGTGTGTGTGCACAGGAAGGGCTTTCCAGGCAGCCACAGAGCACAGGGGCTTAGTCTAGATTCTAGACTCTAGAAGGAGGGAGATGCTCTCCAGTGTGGAGGCTGGCCTGAGTAGAGGAGGAGCACTCCAGGAGAGGTAGTGAAGGCTCCAGCTGGGGAAGCCTTAGGGGCCAGCACCCCCTGCCCAGGCCTGGTCAGAGCCTCTGAGGGCTTTAGCAGGGAGAGGAACTGACCTGAAGTGTGGCCCTAGAAAAATGCCTCTGGCAGCTGCCCAGAGACTCACCAGACCCTCTTCTGTCCCTTCACCTCCTCCCTGGCTATGTGATCCGTGTCTCTGCCCTTCAAGTCAGTCAAGGCCTGTGCTCTGTACACTGTCTGAAAGCCCAGGTTCCGCACCCCCCCCCTCCCACCACCACACACACCGGGCAAGTTTGTCCAAGGGATATCAGGCCCAGGGCACTAGCACTGGTGGTTGGTGTTGGTACCAGGGCCCCCAGACCCGAGGGAGGCCACAGGAGCAGAGTCACACTTTATATCACTTTACTCTAAGAATCCAGCTTTTGCAGCGCCCCCCGCCCCCATTATACCCTTAGAGTGTTGAAAATCTGCAGCATACAGTGTGTGCCCGCTCATGTTGAGGCACTGAGCAGGATGGGTACAGTGGAGGAGGGAGCCTGGGGCTGAGATGATGTGTGTATGTGGGGTACCAGGCTGTTCCCCCCACTATCTCAGACTGTCCGTTCAGACTTCTCCTGGCTTCCTCTGAACTCCTGTCACCTGCTCCTTTCTATTCCCAGGGTTCTAGTTGAGGAGTTCTTGTGTCTCACCAGGCTGTTACTACCTATGGCCTCCTAGCCCCACTCGATCAGCAAAAAGGTCTTTTTCTCCTACATGTCTTAAGTCACTCCCTCTGCCCCATTGGCCCTCCCTTGCTTCCCGGATAAGGCCCAGCTCCTTGGTTTGGCGGTCAAGGCCCCTTGTGCCCTGAATACTCATCCCTGACCACACTCCTATCCCCTCGCCCCCGCCCTCCTACACCATCACCTCTGCTTCCCATTGCCCCAATGCCCTGGAGTCCTTCCACCTTTGCGCACGCTGTTCCCTCGCTCCTCATGCCTTGGCTTTGTCGGGTGAACTCTGACCCTTCCTTAAAAGCCCATAATAGATGACCGCCCTCCTGGGAGCCTTTGACTGCTTGCCCTTCCTGCCCCACCCGGACCCCATCCACGCCAAGGATGCCTCTGCCAAAGAGAGGCTCACACGGTACGGCCCGCAGGGGTCCACGGGTAGCTTCGGGCAGGCCCCGCCCCCGGGTAGCTCGGCCCCGCCCCCGGGTAGCTCGGCTCCGCCCCCGGCTCCCACGGGGCGCCGCGGCTTCCTGCTCTGGGCCACGCGGGCCGGAAGTGTAGCGTTGCCATGGCGAGGGCCGGGCGCGGGGCCCGCCCCTGCGGCGCCCGGAGGAGCGCCGGGCTGACTGACCGGTGGACCGGATTCGATCGACTGCGCGAGGCGGAAGGTGAGGCTCGGACTTCCGGGGCCTGTGGCGGGAGAGAAGGATGGGTCCGGGGGAGCGAAGAGGCCTGGATCGGGGGGCAGAGAGGAGACCGGGTCCCGGGGGAGAAACGAGGCCGGGTCCCGGGGGAGAAACGAGGCCGGGCCCCGGGGGAGAGACGAGGCCTGATCGGAGGCTGAGCCGAGAGAAAGTAAAAGAGGAGGAAGGACCCGATGGGGGCGTCCGCAGGAAACGTGCCTGGCCAGCACGCTGAGAGGCCGGGGCAGAAGCCTCTCGGCCCCGCTCGGGCGCCGGTGGATACGGCCCAGGGCAGCGGGTGCTAAGGGTCGAGAACGGCTTCTAGAAGTGACAGCCCGTGAAGGCCACCGGGAGGGCGTTTCCTGGTTTACCTCCGTGTGGACGGGTTCGCGTTCATGCAGCCTGCTGGTCAGGTAGGCAGCGCTAGAATCGTGTCCGTTTCAGCCCAGGAAGCTAAGGCCCACAGGGAGGCGACTTGCACAGGCTTTGTGTGGGCTTTGGAGGTAGGCCAGAGGAGAAATCCAACCTCTCTGGGACAAGTTCCTCCAACTTTCGTCGGTTCAGGTGACCTCACTTGCAGTGTGGGGATCCTGGGCCCCGCCTCGCGGGTTGGGGCCAGGAGGAGAAGTGCTTAAGGCCCGGTGTTGCGTGGGAGGTGCTCTGGCCCTGGGACGAATGGTTTGGGCCCCCCACTGCCCTGAGGCTGTCAGAGGCTGAGGTGACCATGGGATTAATTTCCATGGCTGCAGACAGGGGAGGCGTGTATGGAGTCATTCCAGAGAAAGGCTGGCGCGCCCCAAAGCTCCGGGTCTGCCTTTCCTCCCTGGACCCTCAACTCGGGGTTGGGGATGGCCGTAGAGGCGCCACACTGCTCTCAGTTCAGTCTCTGTCTTGGCCTAGCAGTGAGCCTTCCTGGGCATCTGTACCCCCAGGCGCTCCGCCGGCGGGACCGGGGTTTCCCTGAGGGGCATGTGAAGAGGCCTCATGCCCCTGACCTGGCCGCCTAGTCCAGCTCAGGGGCGCCGAGCTTCCCGAGGGGCCGGTAGCTGTCTGAAGGAGCTTGCACACAGGCCAGCTTGTGCGCCTTGTGATGGGCGTGCGTCGCTCTGAGTGGCCAGCTGCCCCCCTCCCCCGCCCGAGTCCTGCTCGGAGGCGGGGCGAGGAAGCGTGAGCAGGTCCCGGCCTGCCTGCTGCTCCCCAGGCTGCATCTCCTCCCTGTTGGCTGGAGCCCCTTCCCCTGGCCGGTCCTGGCCCCATCCCTCGCCTGCTTGGGGCGGGCCTGAGCTGGCTGGCACCTGGGAAGGGGGCTCTTGTACGCGTGGGCTCAACGTTGGGGTCTGTGTTCGAGGGATTTCTGAACCCCTGGTCCCGCTGCATGCAGCTTGGGAACCTGAGTCTCGGGTGAACCCTTGGTGACCCAGCAGACTGTCGTCTGTCCCAAGAGTGCCCGCCCTAGTGCCTCTGCCACGGTCTACCCATTAGCCAGAGCAAGACATCTGGATGGCGGTTCCAGACGTTTCCCTTACCTCCAGGTTCTCTCAGAACTTCCTCCTAAATCTCCCTGATCCGGGTCCTTCCTGCCCATCCTTCAGCCAAAAAGCGGGGTGGCGGCAGCCGCCCCTGGCTGTCTTCTTGGCTCTGTGCCAGCCCCTTGCCTTCATCCTCCTCACCTGAGCCGGGTGAGTGACCTGAAATACAAATCTGATCCTTGTACTGTCCTCCATGAAATCCTTCCTCACAGACTTCAGGATAACACGCGCCTGTCTTTGCAGAGTAGCCCCCAAACCCTGCCCTGACCCCAACCCAACCACCTTTCCAGGTGTGTGTCATGCACCACCATACTGAACCCCTGCATGGCGGTGGAAGGGAGCGCGAAGCTACCCCTGCCCCTTCCAGGCCCTGTGGCCTTGGGCAAGGCCTCTCCAGCACAGCAGGCTGAGAAAGGGAGGCTGAGGTGCAGGAGACCCTAGTTCTACAGACACTTCCTCTGATGGTGAGTCAAGCATTAGAGCAGGGTGGGGAGATGGAGGGTGACAGGGTAACCACAGAAGACCTCTGAGGAGGTAACACCAAATTGTGATCTGAGTTACAAGAAGGGGAGAGCGATCCTAAGATCTGATGGAAGAGCTTTCCCAACAGAAGAAATGGCCAGCGCCAAGCAGGACTTGTGCTAAGGACAGCGTCAAATCACTGTGATGGACCAGGGGGGCTGCACGCGTTCTGTGAAGGGCCACATAGTAAACATATTTTATAGACCCTGAAATTTGAGTTTCATGTCATTTTCATGTGCCACAAAATATTTTTTTTATTTGTTTCCCAACCATTAAAACATGTAGAAGCCATTCTTCACTCATGGGCCACATGAAAACAGATGGCAGGCTGCAGTGTGCTGACCCCTGTGCTAGACACTGAAAGTGCTGTGTGTCTAACTCCTTGAATACTCATCAGACTCTTTTAGAGAAGATACTGTTATCATTCCGTTTACAGATGAGGAAACTGAGGCAGAAGAGATAAGAAACTTGACCGATCTCCTCAACTCCGGCCCCTGCTGCACCTGGAGGGCCTTCTGAGGGGGCAGGGAGCGGGTGCTGAGTGGGACTTGGATTGGGAGGTGCCAGGAGACAGCAGGCTCTGACCATGCGGGGTTTTAGAGGCCAAGGCAAGACTTTTGAATTGTATACTTTTATTTTTTTGCAGCAAACTTTTTTGAGGTATAATTTACATATAATAAAATGTACCTATTTTACGTGTACAGTTGGGTGGGTTCTCCTAGATGTGTACATCCTGGTAAACACCAGAACCCTCATATAGAACCTTCTGATCACCCCCAGAAGTTTCCTCATTGTCCTGTGGTCCCAGCAACCACTGCTTTCTATTTCTGTCGATTCAGTGACTCTTTTTTAGAATTTCACATAAATGAATCCTATGAACGAACACTTTTGTGTCTGACTTTTTTCATGTGACAGAGTGTTTTGGAAATTCAGGAGGTTGCCTTGTTTGGTGGCTCCTTTTCTTGCCAAGTGGTTCGGCATTGTGTTGTGTGGGTATCCCAGCATTTAATCAATGTACATACTCGTCGGTGGACACTCGGTTCTTTCCCGTTTTTGGCTATTTTGAGTAAGGCTGCTGTGAACATTCACGCACACAAGCCTCTGTGTGGACATATGCGTTATTTCTCTTGGGTTGCAATGAGAGAAATGATGGAGTGAAGTGTGTGGTTAACTTTACTAGAAAGTGCCAAACTATTTGCCAAGCTGCCTTTATGTTCATTTTACATGCCCAGCTGTTCCATATTCTTTTTAACTCAGTGTTGTCATCTTTTTCAAGTTTAACCATTTTCTTGTGTGTGGTGTGGCTCACTGTGTTTTATTTTTTCCCATTTATTTATTTGGGAACAGAGTGTTTTTCCAGGACCCATCAGCTCCAAGTCAAGTAGTTGTTTCAGTCTAGTTGTGCAGGGTACAGCTCAGTGGCCCATGTTGGGATTGAACCGGCAACCTTGGTGTTATGAGCCTGTGCTCTAACCACCTGGGCTAACCGGCTGCCCCTCATTGTGGTTTTAATTTGCATTTCCCAAACGGATGGTGTGAAGCATCTTTTCATGAGCTTATTTTATTGGCCATTTGTATATCTTCTCTGTGAAGTGTCTGTTCAAACCTTTTTTTTTTTTTTTTAAAGATTTTATTGGGGAATTGGGGGAGGGAACAGCGTTGGGGAATTGGGGAAGGGGAACAGACAAGTTGCTGTCCTTTTGTTCTTCAGTCTAGTTGTGGAGGACGTTGCTTCACTGGCCCAAGTTGGCACCATCATTGCGCTCTTCCCGGGCGAGGTAGATCAGTCGCCGGCCACTGGATGGCCGCTCACGCTGGCTGCTGGCTACACATGGTAGCCCATGGCAACCCACTGCAGCAGGGGTTGCAGCCTACGCCGTTGCCGGCAACTCACGGCAGCCCAGCTCCAGGTTGAGCTGTTGTTCAGCATCTTAGCTGTAGAGGGCAGTGTCACTGGCCCTCATATGTGGGATCCAAACCGGGGCCCTCTGGCGTCCCAAACCAGCTCTTAACCAACGCGTCACTTGGCCGGCGCTGTTCAAATCTTTTGCCCTTAATGAAATGGGTTGTTTGTCTTAGGAAGTTTTAAGAATTTATTATGGTACGTGTGCACTCAGTCTTTGGCTGGGCTCAGAATTTGTACCAGTGTCTTTAGTGGTAGAAACTTTTGATTGTGATGAAGTCTAGTTTGTCAGTTTTTTCCATAATGGTTTGTGCTTTCTTTTATGGTGTGAGTATAGGTCAGAGATCATTGTTTTCATGTGGACAGCCAGTCATCCCAGAGCCATTTTTGGAGAGCACCCTTACTCACCCCGTTGTTTTAACTTAACACCCTTGTTGAAAATCAACTGACAGTACATGTGTGGGTCTCTTTCTGAACTCTGTTTTATTCATTGATCTTATGCTAATATCACAGATTTGATCACTGTAACTTTATAATAAGTCTTGAGATCAAGTACTATAAATTCTCCAACTTGGCTTCTTTTCAAATCATTTGGACTCTTCAAGATATTATGCAGTTCTATATAAATTTTAGAGTTAGCTTGTCAATTTCCACAAAAAGGCTTACTGGGATTTTGATTGGGATTGTATTGAAGCTAAGCTCTATTTGGGAAAAATTGACATTTTGACAATATAGAACGTGGTATATATATATATATATATATATATATATTTATTTATTTATTTAGGTCTCTGTATTGTCTATTGCTGTATAACAGATTGCCCTAAAATGGAGTGACTTACAACAATAAACATTTATTATCTCACAGTTGCTGTGGGAGCTGGGTGGTCCTGGCTGTCCTGAGCCTGGGGTTCCGGTTAGGGTCGTCAGCAGGTCTGCATCATCTTGAGGGTCGGCCTGGGGCTGGACCATCTGCTTACGGAGTGGCTCCCTCACGGGGATGTGGGCAGGAGGCCTCGGTGGCTCCCACATGGGCCTTCCATAGACGGCTGACCAGTCTCAGCCCGGCAGCGAACTTCCTCCAGCGCCAGCCATCCAAGGGAGGACAGACACAGCCAGAGGCTGTCTTGGCTTTGATGACCTGGTCTTTGAAGTGACGCACCGCCACTCCTACGTTTTTTGCTGTTTGTTAGGAGTAACTAAGTCCGACTCAATGGGAAGGGAATTTAGACTGTTCCTTTTGAGGGGGTGTCAAAGCATTCCATGCTTTTCGTAAATGATATTTAACATGTTGCACTTTTCAAACACAGAGACATACAGTTGATTTTGACATACTGTCCTTGTATCCTATAAGCTTGCTAAATGTACTTATTTATTTCAGTGCCCTATAGATGTAGATTCCTAAGGGTTTTCTCTACGCCTTCTGCATTTGAAGAATTTTACGGCTTCCTTTCCAATCTGTGAGCTTTTTATTTCTTGCTTTACTGCACTGGCGAGACCTCGAGTACAGCGCGGAATAGGAGCAGTGAGAATAAATGGCCTTCCCTCGTTGCCTCCATGGGGGAAGTGCTTGGTTCCTTGCAGTGGGCACGATTTAGCTGCAGGGTTTTTGGAGATGCCTTTTATCAGGTTGAGGAGTTTTCTTTCTATTCCTTGTTTTCTAAGTTTTTTGTTTTTGTGGCTTTTAAAAAAAATTATTTACTTTTTAAAGGATATTTGCAAGTATTCTTGAAGAAATTGGTCTGCAGTATTCTTAATTTGTCATGTCGTTGGTTTTGGAGTCAGGGTAATAGTGGTCTAATAAAATGATTTGGGATATGTTTCTTCCTCTTCTTTTTTCAGAAAGGGCTTTGTAGATTGGATATGATTTCTTTAAATGTTTGATATATAACTTACCAGTGAAGCCTTCGGGGCCTGGAGTTTCTTTGTGGGAAAGTTTTTAACTGTAAATTTAATTTCTTTAATAGATATAGGATTATTTAGGTTTTTTGTTTATTCTTGAGCCCATTTTGATAATTTGTTTCTTTCAGATTATTTGCCCCTTTATCTAAGTCAAAGTGGCAATGTTTTTCTATAAAGGGCTAAATAGTAGTAAGTATTTTACGCTTTTCAGGCCATACGAGTCTCTGTTGCAGCTTCTCAACTCTATTATTGCAGCACAAAACAGCCATAGACAATACATAAACAAATAAGCATGGCTATATCCTAATAAAACTTTATTTATACAAATAGATGGTAGGCAAGATTTGGTCTATGGGTTGTAGTTTGTTGATGT